ATGTATAATGTAAACAGAATTGGTCCTAGCACTGAACCCTGTGGAACTCCATAATTAACCTCAGTGTGTGAAGAGGACTCTCCATTTATATGGACAAACTGGAGTCTATTAGATAGATATGATACAAACCACTGCAGCACAGTACCTGTAATACCTACAGCATGTTCTAATCGCTCTAATAGGATATTATGGTCGACAGTATCGAACGCTGCACTGAGGTCTAGCAATACAAGCACAGAGATGAGTCCACTGTCAGAGGCCATAAGAAGATCATTTGTAACCTTCACTAAAGCTGTTTCTGTGCTGTGATGAGCTCTGAAACCTGACTGAAACTCTTCAAATAAACCATTCCTCTGCAGATGATCTGTTAGCTGTTTGACAACTACTCTTTCAGGGATGTTTGATATGAAAGGAAGGTCGTATTTATTTTACCCTACTCAAATTCAATTTATGATACATTTTATTTTGAAAGATTTAAAAAGGTTCTTTAAAATGCTTTTTTTAAAGAACCATTTGAAGGACCTTTTTTAAAATGGTTCTTTGAAAAACCATTAAAGGTGCCCCAAACAACCATTTCTTGATGGTTCTTTGGGGCACCTTTAAAGGTTCTTCAATGAACCACTGAAAGAAATGGTTCTTTAAAGAACCATTTTTTGAATGGTTCTTTATGGCACCAAAAAAGGTTCTTCTATGGCATCAGGCTAAAGAACCACTTTTTTTCCCAGTTGGCACCTTTATTTTTCTGACACAAGCAACAGGAGGAACACACGTTGGAAGATGGTTACCTTGTCCAGGTACAAAGACATCAACATTTCTGCTCTGATCAGATGATGGCTCCTCACAGGTGTATCTCCCAGAATTCCTCCATGTGATGTTAAAGAGATGCAGGATGCTCATGGAGCCTCGATTGTCCAAGAGGACCCCATCTACTGGCGGGTCCTGAGGAAAATGCCACTTCACCTCACTCCACCCCAAACACTCCTGAGGAGAAGAAAAGATCCCTGAGAGAGAGGTACTGGAAGACATCTGAAGACAGAGACAGGTAGGTGTAGAGACAGACAAGTGTTACTGACCACTGTGTAATTGGAGTTAGAGGGGACCAGAACTTCAGAGGCTGATGGCAGCAGCTCCAGAGAAACCGCCCCTTCAGGATGAACCAGGAATACACCTACACACAGAGACAGGTAGACATTCAGGTGTCACCTCTAAAATCCTACTGATGCTTTAACGTTATTACTCACCCAAGAGAAACCCCAACAGGCTGATATTTCCTGTTCCCCTGATGGATGCCATCATGGCTGCCGACCCTGAGCAGTGACAGGTGGAGGAGAGATTTCAAAATAAAAGTCTAACATCATTAAAACACAAAATGGACTTTCTGTGAAGCTCTGATATTTGGTGGAAGCTTTAAAAAATGCAAATAGTTGAATGTAATAAGTTTTGGATGCTGCAGGCTGTGTACAAATACTGTAGTAATGATTGTCTTCTATTACTGCTCTATATTCCAGAGAGATGTGTTTACTGCATGTCAGTGGCAGCTGGAGACTGCAGAAATAATAAACTCAACGAAGTTACTTTGAAGGGAGGCGTCTAAGAAGCTTCATTAAAGTTTAACAAGTTTATTTAAACTGTAGCAGTCTGGACTTTTTTCATTCCCTGCATTCAGTTGCTTGATGCTTCAAACAGACGTGAACACATTCCTGTGTGTGTGTGCATGTGTTTTCACACAAAGCAGCCACTCACAGCCATCCCTAGGGACTTCAGCCAATCAGAGCCCTGGTTGATGGAGAGAGAATGAGGAATGCCAGCTGACCACCGAAGAAGAAAATAAACAGCGAGGTATTTCCTGTGGGCAGCAGAGAGGAGAGCAAGCCTCATCTCAGGGTTTAGCCAATCACAGTTCTGAAGCTCTGTGCCCTGACTAATGCTCAGCAGGTGATGTCACCAGTCAGCTGCCGAGTCTTCCTCTTCATCCCTACCTCCACTGTCACAGAGTGTCAAATTTGAGCGTCCAGATTGGTGGCTTCAGTCTCTCTTGTGATGTCACCAATGGAAGTTTTAAAAGGCTTTTTATTAACTCTCTGAAGGCTGAAGAGAGAGGAATGCCTCAAATGTGTGCTTGAGTAAAATTTGCTTTGAAGTACTGATCTTGTGATCAGGTTACTGACCAACAGAAGACATTCTTTTACAGCTGCTGAGTTAAAAGATGACACCATTGTTTTTCCAGCCTGCCGTGTGTGTGTTGTGACTGCTGTGTGTGTTTGGTTCAAACTGACTGTGCAGCAAAAAGCTGATCTCAGATCGAATCACCAACATGTTCATCGGCCAACGTTCTTCCAACTGTGTTTTTGGATTTTTGTCTAGTTCGTGCTCAGTAAAAATCACCTTTAAGCAGCTCTGATCAGAAATATGAGCAGCTACAAGACATCGATTGGCAAAGTAGGAGACAGCGAATCTGACTATGGTGATCTATTTAAGTAGTATTCCAGATAGGTAGTCATACACCTGTTCATCAACACTGAATATTCTACATGTAATCATTTCATATCCTGTCACACTCACCTACTCTACAGGTGTGCCACCTGCCTGTCACTGCTCCATACTAACGCTGTGATCGGTCACCTCAGACCTGTAGCACACAGCACACACACACTGTAACACAATTAAACTGATCAAACTGCAAACCACGAGATTTATTGTTGGTCAAGTTGATGCATTTGAATGATCAGCATGGCAAACATAAAAATAGAAATCTAAAGAGAAGCAGGTGAGGCCCAACAACAACCAACCACAGTTCAGATAATGCACAGAAAAACTAACTGGATATATGCTCGTGTATGATGTTATTACCACACAATAAGTTTGATCAGAATATTTCTGACACTTAAAGTATTACAAACACCAAATGTGTAAGGAACCAAACTGGGTGGCCAGGTAGGGCTGTTGGATCTGAAAAGTTGATTTTCATAGATTAGACTTTCATCAATAATTCTTCAGTCTGTGTTTTTAAAATGTTTTGAAACAAGTTCAAACTCATAAAAACAGTGAATCTAATAAAAATGAGAATTAGTTCACCAAACCAGTTAAAAACACGCAAACTGAGCAAATACACCAAACCTACAAATGGAAACATCCTACGAGAAGGTTCAAAATATGTTTACACTCATATATGCCTCTCTTCAGCGTCTTAGTCACTTCATTTCTTCATGATGAAGAAGAGAACACATGAATATTCTGACTCTGTGGTGACACACAGCAGGCTCTCCCTGAGCCTGGTTCTGTCAGAGGTTTCTCACTGTTAAAAGGGAGTTTTTCCTTACCACTATCGCCAATGGTGTTGGTTACGTTACTTGAAAATAATAATTAGTTACTATTAATGATTACTTCTCCAAGAAATTAATCCAGTTACTTTACTGATTATTTATTTTCAAAAGTAATTAGTTACTTTATTACTTAGTTACTTGTTAAAAACATGGTACACAACCTGAATACATAATAAAGCAATAGGCCTTTCTGCTTAATTCTATTTTTTTCTGCATAATCCATCATATAAAATGACGCTTGTATGCGGCTGTGAAGGTTCTCAGTCATCCAGGTCATCGTAGTCAAAGGAGCTTGCAAAGAAAAGCGTCTGGACTTTTTTAAGTTACTTGAAGACGTTTCACCTCTCATCCAGTTCCACACCTTGGCTCAGGCGATTAGAGGATCATCAGGGGGTCCTTTTGTCCCTCTGTGGGGGGAAACTCCCACTAGGTTTATATCTGGGACTCTCCACCATTTGACCTTAGAACTGAAGAAGCTTCTCGGATGAAGGTGAAACGTCTTCAAGTAACTTAAAGAAGTCCAGACGCTTTTCTTTGCAAGCTCCTTTGACGACGCTTGTATGTCATTGTCAGCTGCATGAGACACAGGTTTGAAGATGTGAGGTTTAATTAGAGGGAGGATCAGCTGTGGTTCTGTGGTTGCTCAGTTTTTGAAGATGTTCTGACGCTGAGACGTGAAGAGGAACCTGCTGCCCAATCAGAGCTCCCACTGTGAGGAGATGTCAGAGTTCAGGAGGAACGTCTCTTACTGAGCCCAGTTTTATTTATCTGATTTTAATCTGTCAGTTTAACCCCAGTTTCACTGGCAGTAAAATACCTTTATAGAATGGTAAATGGCCTGTATTTGTATAGCACTTTACATAGTCCCTAAGGACCCCAAAGCACTTTACACATTCAGTCATCCACCCATTCACACACTGGAGATGGCAAGGTACATTGTAGCCACAGCTGCCCTGGGACGCACTGACAGAGGCGAGGCTGCCGGACACTGGCACCACCGGGCCCTCTGACCACCACCAGTAGGCAACGGGTGAAGTGTCTTGCCCAAGGACACAACGACCGAGACTGTCCAAGCCGGAGCTCGAACCGGCAACGTTCTGATTACAAGGCGAACTCCCAACTCGGATGGAGCCACGATCGCCCACAATCACTCAGTAACCTCCAGGCCGACAGGTTAATCAGATGTTCTGAACTGGTCGTAGGTGTGAATCTCTCTGTGGCAGCATTGTGATACCTGTGACAAGTGTGATAGGCTGCAGGCAGCCAATGAGCACTCAGGACGGACGGATGTGTGGGCAGTATTTCCTGTCTCTGTGTGGTGCTCCTTTGTTTGATTTTCATGCTATAAATGTGAAAAAAAAGACAGACTTGTACCCGCAGCGGGGACTCTGACTTTTCTTTGGTGATGCAGAGGATGTGAGGAGCTCCTGCACGCTGGAAGTTCCGCCCCCTCACTGGCCTTCAGTCTCATGATTGCTGCACAAGCTTCCCTCCATCACCGATCTGTTCAGCAACAAACTGCAGGAGGAATACCACATTCAGGTGCCGATACTCAGCTGAGATTCACCTGACCCATTGCTCTGTGCACCAATGCAGTGAAAGTATTGCACACAGTACTTACTCGCAGTACGTACTCCCAGTGCTCACAATCTTTACTCTCGGTACTCAGAGTACTTATTCACAGTACTCACAGTATGTACTCACAGCTTTTACTCGGAGCACTACTTAGAGTAGTTAAAGTATTTACTTGCAGTATTTACTCACAGCAGTATTTCTGTATTTCTAGTACATGTAGTACTTGTACATAGCAATACTGTGTGGAATCTAATCAGGATTCAGAGAAAGAAAAGAGAGTAGAGTTGGTTCAAACCTTCTGAAGCTGCTCCTTTTCCTTCTCTTCTTCTTCTTTTCACTGTTTGTGTCTCCTCTTCTTCTCTTCAGTTCATTCCAGACGAACGACGAATGGAAACCAACAGACTGATTCACAGTGAGAGAGGGAGACATAGGGCCAGAGTGGAGAGAGAGAGAGTCTGCAGTACTGAGGGAAGAAAACGGGTGAGAGACACAGACGCACATTGAGAGAGAGAGCGAGAGAGAGAGCGAGAGAGAGAAAGAGCATCTGTTTTCAATCTGTCTCTCTGCCCTCCCCCCTTCTTTGACAGGAAATGAACCGAGTCCAACACACACACACACACACACACACACACACACATACTGAAACACACATACAGAAAAAGTCAGTTTTCTGTTTTACAGTCAGACTTACTGCTTTGTGTGTATGTCTGTGTGTGTGTCAGTATGTGTATGTGTGTGTTTGTGTTTTGTAGTAGACTTTATTAAACAGAGTGCTATGTGAGAGAGTCAGCTTACTGACTGATCAGTAATAAATCAGGGTTGGTTTAACTTCAAACTGATTCAAATTTAATTGTCAGGGTCCTGGGTCTGAGTGACCCAGGGTCCCTGAGCAGTTTTGGACTTGTCTTGTATTGTATCTATATTTGGTGTTGCTGTCCCTCTTCTCCCTGTTTGCGGGTGTGTGTATGTGTTTCTACGGGATACTTCAGGCCTGGTGAGTGTGGCTCTGCTGGCGGACTGGCCACACCCGAAGCTCCTGCAACACCCCCTGTTGTTGATCAGGGCTCGTCGGAGGAGCTATTTAGGAGAGTGTTGAAGCTGAATCATTACGTTAGACTCCCAAGTCAGTGTGTGTGTTTAGGAAGTGCAGATCGTGTGTGTGCCCGCGTGGGTCAGTGTTTAACGGCTGCCTCTATTGTTTTCCTACAGGAGGAACGTGGAGAGGAAGGGCAGCACGCACAGGGTGCGCTGGTGGGCAGCTCTGAACACCACATCCAGAACACCCTGGATTTTGTTGAGAAGGTGAGAGATGTCATTATGGAGGCAGATGAAACCATGGTCTCGTACGACGTTACATCTCTCTTCACTTGCATCCCAGTCACGGAAGTGTTGGAGGTAGTCCGTAAGAGATTACAGGATGACACCAAGCTCAGCAACAGGACCACTCTCAGCATCCAACAAGTGTGTTTGCTTTTGGAACTGTGTCTTCATTCCACCTACTTCACATACAAGGGTCAGTTCTACAGGCAGAAACATGGGTGTGCCATGGGCTCCCCAGTTTCACCCATCGTGGCCAATTTGTACATGGAAGAAGTGGAAAAGAGGGCTTTGCTATCCTACCCTGGAACACCACCAAGCCATTGGTTCAGATATGTGGATGACACCTGGGTGAAAATCAAATCTCAGGACGTTCCACGTTTCACGGATCACATTAACTCGGTGGACCGACTCATCAAATTCACCAGGGAGGATATGAAAAGTGGCAGGTTAGCCTTCTTAGACTGTGAGATTTCCATTAGTAATGGGGGACATCTAAAAGCTGACATATACCGTAAACCTACACATACGGATCAGTATCTAAGGTTTGACTCTCATCATCCACTGGAGCACAAACTGGGCGTCATCAGGACGCTACAACACAGAGCGAACACCATCCCCACTGACACAGCAGCCAGGGAGGCAGAAGAACATCAAGAAGGCCGTGAGTAAATGTGGTTATCCCAGCTGGACTTTTGTCAAAGCGGGAAAGGCACCTAAAGAAAGCTCCAGCCGATCCAGAAGAGAAGGACAACCGCTGCCCAAGCGAAAACCTGTAGTGATCCCATACGTGTCAGGAGTATCGGAGCAGTTGAGAGGCATTTTTTCTAAACACTGGGTCTCTGTGGCTTTTAAACCCCAAAAACACGCTGCGCCAAAAATTGGTCCACCCCAAGGATCGGGTCCCCGACACAAACAGAGTAACATAGTTTACGCTGTTAAATGCAGGAGGATTGCCAGGATTTATACATCGGGGAAACCAAACAACCTCTGGTGAAGCGGATGGCACAACACAGAAGAGCCACCTCGTCAGGCCAGGACTCTGCGGTCTATTTACACCTACAGGCCAGTGGACACTCTTTCAACGATGAGGATGTTCACATCCTGGACAGGGAGGAACGCTGGTTTGAGCGCGGAGTCAAGGAGGCCATTTACGTGAAAAAGGGAAAGACCATCTCTGAATCGAGGAGTGGGCCTAAGGGTACATCTTTCGCCATCTTACAATGCTGTGATTGCAGCCATTCCCCAACTCTCTGTGAATGGTACTCATGGCCATTGATGAGTAGTCTTTGATCAGTAGGTTTTGGTCAGTGGTTGTTGATCAATGGTCATGAGAATTTGCATAATTATGATTAAGGAACTGACCTCCCAGGCCATTGTTCCCTCAGTGGGCTGGTTTCAGTCATTATGCAAATGCACTGTTTATAAGATTTGGGGAAACCTGCAGTTAGCTGAGACTGAAGAAGTCACTTGGATGAGTGACGAAACGTTTCTCCCACAAAAAGCTACGTCCAGATAAACAGAATCAACTTTTGGAGATGTCAACATAGTTGTTTCTTTGCAGGAAGGTAGATAGCCTTTGGGCCAAGACATTGAAGAAGATCTTTCCTTCTACGTTCAGCAGACTGACCTGACGAAACTGGCTGATGGATGAGGAGTTCTTGTCCTTAGGGATGAGAATACCTCCTGCTCTCCGCCAAGCCTTTGGAATCACTCCTTTCTGCCACGCTACCTTCATCAGCTTCCACAGGTATTTGAGGACTTGTGGGGTGTTTTTATAGAGCCTATATGAGATGCTATTAGGACCTGGGGCCGATGCTGCTCTTGCCTGCTTCACTACCTTCTCCACTTCACTCCATGTAAGTGGTCTTATGTCCATTTGGTGTTCAGGTGCCTGGATAGGCAGCATATCACTCGGAATGGTGACTGGATCATGCCTCTAATCATCAGAGTAAGTTTTCCTCAGTTGATTTTCCAGGTCGTTTATGGGCATTTTGAGGCACCCAATCTTCTCTTCAACAAAGAGACTCTTAACAAAAGTTGTATGGGTTGCTGTAGAAAAGGGTCCTTGTCCGTTCTTTCTTCCTACGTTGTCGTCTGAGGTGTTCTGCTCTTTGGAGCTTTGTAAGTTGTTGCTTTATTTCCTCCTGCAGGGCAATGAGTCCCTCCCTTTATGTCTCATAGGCCCTCCTCCATTGTTTCCTCAGTTGTCTTCTCTCTTTCACTAATCTATCTGTCACGGCTGGCGGGGTGAGCCGTGTGGTGTGGAGGAAAAGGAGGACCCAAAATGCAGACAGCCGATATGATGATATGAGTGAGGGTTTATTTACAGGTGGTGGAGTGGCAAAAACAGGCAGTGAGGGAAGAGAATTTACAGAACAACCTAAACTGGGATAGCTAAATAACAAACCGGAGATCATACGAACGGGGTGGGAGGCAGAGATGCCGACGAGGAACAGGACACCATGAAACACAGACAAGCCGACGAGGAACAGAGGCAAACACACACTACAAATACACAGAGGGACACTGGGAAATCACACACAGGTGGGAGACACAGGTGGATCTGATGAGACAGGGGAATACTAACACCAGGGACCAACAGAGGGAGCACAACCCAGAAACCCAGTATCTAAAATCCCCAAAACACCAACCATCCCAAAACAGCTCATACATAATAATGAAAATAATAACAATAAATACACCAAACACAAAATCACTGAGTCACAGACTCAGCATCATGACACTATCAATTTCCCGCTGATCTGATCTTTCCTACTTTCTATCTTCCTTTCCCTTGCTGGTAGTGGTTTGGCTAGACTCAGTGTTGGAAGATTCTGTTGGCTGTTTGTGGATGAGCTCTGGGTTGGAACGCAGTGTTGATTGTGGCTGGCTAACATCTATACACAAATGTGTTCCTAGCTGTTGGTGGCTAAACTCCAAGCTAGGGGCTAATATTAAATGGCCGGGCACTGAGCTAGAATCTAATATTGAGTGTGGCTGGCTAAGCTCTAGACTGGGAACTGCTACTGGTTGGATTTGACTGAGTTCCGATCTGGAGACTATGGGGGACTCAACAATGAACTTCGAAAAGGGTGCTGATATCCTGAGGACTGTGGGGATTCTCCTGTGTCTGGACTTCAATCGAATGATTTGACTTCTTAAAAAGTATGTGTCAATGCCAGGCCCCTTTCTCAGCTCGCTGAGGCACTTCTTCCTGCCTTGGTGGATTTTAAGGACCATGTCAGTAGCTAGTTTTGACCAGCCACAAATGCAGTTCTGCAGCTTCTTTCCTACCATCATTGATGGTCCATTATTAGCTGGTTGATCTATTCATAGTTGGTACCGTTCCGTGGTTCGTTGCCATTAAATCCGTCCAGAAAGGGTCTTTTTCCGCCCCTGATCTTGCAGGCCCTAGGGGTATCTTCTCTTTTGAGATTTCTGTAGCATCAATGGATGCACCCAGGTTCGCTAAAAAGCGCTGGGTCCTGCTGGTATGAGGTGCTAACCCACACCAACCCCGTTAGGGTCTATTCCCTCCTGTCAGCTGTCTGTCCAAGCTGTCATCTGGTCTTTCCCTGATTGTCAGCTGCCCTTTCACAGCGGTCA